GCTCAAATGATTAACCAAGATAAAAATTCTCATCTCAAATTTCTATATAACAAGGCTACTGCTAAAAACTAGAATAACTATAAAACATCATTACAGTATTTTTTTAGTAAACAAACAGTTTTACTAGACATACTAAACAAAGATATTAACAAAATAATACAACAAGATATTGACAACATTTGGGCTTCGATAGAATCAGGTATCTTGTACACAGCCAAACAAAATATCCCATACAAGAAAATTCAAGCCTTAACTAAAAATAAACCTCTAGCAAACAAAAAAACAAGGTTATCATTGTATGAAGACACAATCCTTATAAGTAAAATTTGTCAGGAACTTAAAAAATATGTAAGAGAAAACCAAAATCAAAAGATAACAACTATATTATCAAGCAACAGAGTGCAAGAGATTAAAGAGTTATTCTACAAAATTAATACAAGACACAAGACGAATATAGCCTTAGAGGAATTTGTATTTGTAGAAGAATAGGTCTCAGATATTAAGGGTTGGCTATATATTTTCAATAAAAAATAGGCAGCTAAACTAGAAAAGCAGAAGAGTGACAGAATTAAAGATTTTACGAACTGTCATTGTCTCATGATACAAGATGAGCAAGAAAAGATGCTCAAGAGTATTTTGGATAAATCTTACTTAAAAGCTAAAATAGATAGAATATTTTTTTTTTTTTTTTTTTTATTCTTTGACAGTCTTGTCGGTGCTACAATACAAATATTTATAGTGAAATCTGATTTAAAAACTAAAACCTATTTCTAGTAAATGCCTTTCGCAATTACAAGCCCGGCATCACCCGGCTACAGATACTGTGCCCAGGTGTGACTTGTCGTACTAACTCATATACATGTCAGGAGACCTTGTTAGCTCATCAAGAACTAATCCCTTCAATCTTTCTTTCTTTACCGAGAGTACAAGAAAGTAAAATTCTGTATTACTAATACAGAACCAACACTAAAAAGCAAAAAGGAAACTAAAACTAAAAAAAAACATATAAACAAAATGGGAATCAAAAAAGGAAGACAAATAGGAAAACAGGTGAATATAAAAAAAGAAAAACAAAGAGAAAAGCCTCTATGGGCCAACCAATCTACCTCTATCAAGAAGCAGTTTGTGGTCAAATAATAAAAATTATATAACTAATGCAACTATAGTATATCTCAACTGTAAAGCTTCACTTTATTTAGAATCTTCTTTCTAATGTACAACCAAATCTGGATGTGAAATAAATAGAAGGTCCTGGTCCTCTGTAGGTAGCACCGTGTTTATCATTATGATCACCCCAAAACACATAGTTGCAATCTACCTGGTTGTCCAGATTTGAAAGGAGTAAATAATGCTGATCATCTGACAGGGGTAAGCTGTTTTGCCCAGTTTTTTTGAAAATTTTGTTGAAAATACAAGTGGGTGATAGCAAAGATGACAGGCTAGAGTAAGTACCAAAACAAGAAGTGTAAGAGTTTACATTATATAGAATAGTATATTTATCCAAGCTTTTATTCTTGTGCTTGCTTCAATATAACTTGACAAAAACTTTCTTGGTTGTCACCAGAATACGTATTTGGGATCGATATAATTTTCTGAAAACATTACGATGTTTAAATGAAAAAATGAGATCACTACAAGATGCAGGGTTTGGTGATACAGATCAAAGCAGCCCACTAACTCCTAACGAGATTACTTCCTGTTTGAAGCATGATTATTTGTCTATCGATAACAATGAAAGTTTAATTCGGCGGGTCTTTTTTTGGGTTTCTCTGCTCTGTAGACTTCAAGGTGAAGATACATACAACTTACAGTATCGTGATATTGAACGACGTAAGGATGGTGGATTGCAGTTATGATTTCGTAAAGAAAAAAATAACCAAGAAGGAATTTTCTACTGTCAATGATATGGACATATGGCTACAAGAACAGTTCCAATTCCTCCCGATAATGATGACAACCAATTCAAGCCAGTTGGCGATATATTACTTTATTTATCTAAGCGTCCATCAGACTGTCAGGTTACCGATCCATTATTTTTAAAATGCATAAGGAAAAAATCAGGTATTTAAAATGCATTGTTGTGTATATTTAAATTTAAAAATTAATTTATCTTTATTTAGCGATTAATAATGAAATTTGGTATAAATCAACAAGAATGGGTACAAATAAATTAAGAGGAATGTTACATCAAATAACTGTAAAAACGGGAATTAATGTCGATGAGCGTAAAATTACAAATCACAGTGCACAAAGAAGTGCAATTATGATTTTAAAAGCTGCGGATGTACCTGAAGATAAAATAATGAGCTTCTCAGAACATAGGTCTTATGAAGGAATTAGATCATACAGCAAACCTACCGATGATCAATGATTAAGCTCAACAGCAACATTGATTCCGTATGCAGCAAATGATAATGATCTTGAAGAATTTTACTCTTACCCGAGCAACTTATATACTCACCAGTCTGAAAGTGAAGATGATAATGAAGATGATGGTGATTGCATGGATATTGATAAGCACGTAAATGAAATTGAATGTGAAGGTAAATTTTTTTTTTAAAAAAAAATATAAACTATTATTTATTATCTAATTATATGTATTTGAATTAATAAATGATCAAGGAAGAAATGACATACCACAAAAAAAGATAAATATCGCTAAAGCACCAACTGATTCTCAGCAAAAATTAAAACTTTATGCACTATTCAAGTCACCTCTTCTAAAAAATCCATCGAATAAAAAAAGCCAAAAACCATTATACGAAAATCAGCCAACTAATCAAAATATTAACCCGCATCAAGACCAAAGTAACCTTCAAATTCAATCGCAAACACAAAACCATTCTAACGTTTAAGTTCAATCGCAAACACAAAACTATCCTAAACTTCAAGTTCAATCAACTCGGTAAACTCTTAGCCCAATTTCGAATAATATTATATTGCATATCCCGCCAACTGACAAGCCATTAACAATTACATTAAATCTTAAATTTGAGATGTAAAATGCCAATGAATTTTTTTTTTATTATGTATTTAAAAAAAAATTACTATTGATTATGAGCAATTAAATAAAAGCTTTATGATATCGGCATGCAATTTTAAGTTTCACGGTCCTGATTTTTAAGAATTTTTAAAAATTTCACCCGATTTAAGTTTCCTAGTTTTGAATTTTTGATTTAATATTAAAAAACTAATTTTTGAATTTCACTGGTCTATATGCAAATCACATGATTTTCATATAGATCAGTGAAAATAAGCTTGTCAAATTTGCACAGATAGTTACATAAGACCCATGCAATAATACAAGATACGAACAAAAAATTTCGAAAAAAAATTTTGAGGAGAGTTTGAGAATTGTGAAGGGCTATATATATGTTTTTTGAATTTTGTGCACGTTATCTAAATTACAATACGGGGTTTTTTTTAAAAAAAAATAAAACAATAGAAAACAAAATGAAGTAATAATTATTAAATTAAAAAAAATAAAGTAATATTAAAAAAGAAAATAATGATACATATAATATTTTTTATACACATACACATGTACGTACATATCATCTAAAAATCAGTTATATACGTACGTACATACGTATATTCGTATTTTTTTTATCTTATATCAAAAGCCAAATGATACATTTGTATGTACGTATGTATGTATTTTTTTTGATCTTACGTCAAAAGCCATATGATACATTTGTACGTACATACGTATTAAAAGCTATAGTGATAAATGAGTACGTATGAAAATAATTTAAATTTGATAATAATAATAAATAACTCTTCAGTTTGGTACGTACTACGTAGGAAAAAAATCCTATATATATAGCTATATATATAAATATATATAGATATATATATATATATTAAGGTTGGCAGGTAGGGTATTTTCGGATTTTAGGATTTTTGGACGGACAATTTAGGATAGCTCCGAAAATAAAATCAGGTATCCGAAAATTGCAAAGGGTTAGATCACATGATATTGGGCCAATAAAATTGTATCTTTTAACTAGAAAAAATGTATCGATATGAGTAGGGGGCGGATCCTTAGATTACGGGGTACTGATCTGGGTACTGATCCAGGTTGTGATAGTAAATAGCAATAATGAGTTTATTTGACAGACTTGACATATGCAAAATGATGTAATAAATAGTGCATAATTATTTGTTATTAAATTAATAAGGCATTTGGTCATGAGGTTATAATTAATTGAATTTCTATTTTTGTTCAAGTAACATGAAATTTTATTTCGTAAAAGCAGAAGGTGAAGTGATACTATTTCTATTTCATTTAAGTAACAACCAAATAATACTTGTGTAAAAGCGAACAAAAAATATAGATTAGTAAAGAAAAGTTATTAGAGACATAAGTAAAAATTATAGCGAAGTGGTAAATAATAAATGATATTACTTAACCTATATGCTTTTTGGTTTTAATTTATAAAATATTTAATCGATTAAAAAACAAACTTATATAAATTATTACGTTTTTTTTTATAATTATACATACAAGCTTAACTTTTATAATGTCTAATAAACGGGGACGTCCAAAGTGTACAATTTCTGAATTTTTTGTTGAGGTTCCAGGAGATGACGGAAAGCCAAAGTTTTGGAATTCATCAGATAAAGAAATGGCATGCACCTTCTGTTTAAAAAAAAATGAAAATTCTTTTGAATATTTAGAACGAGGAAAAGAAATTGTAATAGGCAAACCACGATATTATACTCAGCATCTTCTTGCTTGTTTAAATGCTCCTAGTGATTTAAGGCAAGAGCTTCAAGGTGAAGCGAACAATATTGGTGATGCTTCAGAAAGTTCAGTTTTAAGCAAACGCCTTAAGTCTAATCATAATGAAGAACGGTTTGAAAATGGGATTTCTAAATACCTTCTAAAATCTCCAACAGACAAATGGATTAAAGAATTTCAAGAAAAGCTTTTAAATGCAACTATCTCCAACGGATGGTCATTTCAGTGGATAGAAAATAATGAATCATTAGAACTTCTTCATTTTCTTAATCCAACTTTACAGCTTAAATCTACTGCAATTCCATCTCGTCGAACATTAGGAGGAAAACTTCTTAATACTGCTGCAAATAAGCTTCAAACCAAGACTATAAAAACTTTACAAAGTGCAAAAGCTATTACTCTTACCTTCGATGGTTGGAAAAATGTTGCAAAGCAAAATATTCTTGGCATTACTTGTATTACAAAAGAAGGTGAAGTAATAATATATGATGCAAGAGATATTTCAAGTGAACGTAGCTCCATGGAGGCTACAATAAAATTGGTAAAGGATTTATTAATAGAAGATGAATTAAAAGATGTTAAGATTATTGCAGTTGTCACGGATTCATCAAGTGGATATGCTGCTGCATGTCGCAAATTAAGAAAAGAATTATCAACAATAATTTGGCTACCTTGCTTTGCTCATCAAGCAAATCTTTGTATCGTTGATATTTTCAAGTCATCGCAATCTTTTTTTACTACAATTAAGCAAGCCGTAGTAGTTACTACTTTCTTTAATAAATCACCTTTTTTTACAACACTCCTTAAAAATACTTGCAATGATCTTAAAATTCCTTATTTTGCTCTCACTAATCCTACTAAAACTCGGTGGTATTCATATTTTAATTGTATTCGAGCTCTTTTAAAAGTAGAGTGTGCATTAAAGGTATTTAAATTTATATTTTATTATTTAATTTAAAGTATAATTTTAAATTTTATAATTTATTTTAATAGAGCCTTTCAGTAACTCACGGAACAAGTATCCGAATACATGATAAAAAAGCTTTACTTCTTTCTCAATCTGTTACAAGTATCTTAGATGATCGCAAGTTTTTTAATGATCTTCGTATATTAAAAGCAATACTAAAACCTTTTGTGGAAGCAATTGTCTTGCTTGAAAAAAATAATACCCGTCTATATCATGTTCTTATTTGTTTTGGACATTTTAGTCAAATTTTTTCTAAAAGTGAAACTGACGATCAAGAAATTCAGGAATTCAAGTCAATAATAATAAAACGTCTTGAAAAACATTGGAAAGACTGGGAGCAGCTACTTCTTTTGTTGGCATATTTTTTAAATCCTGACCTTCGATTAAGCAATTTAAATTTAAAAGCAAGTAATATTTCTTTTGTGAAATTATGCAAATATGCTCAAATATATTATGAAATGTGGGCAGGAAATAAGCCGCAAACACTTGCTAATGAAATGACACAATATCGTGACAAGACATTTCCTTTTGATGATTATCAAGCCAACCAATTTAAGGATACACCACTTCGGTTTTGGAAATATGTTGAAGAAGAAGCACCTGAACTTGCATTTATTAGTAAATGATTATTTTCAATTGTAGTTAATTCAGCAAGTGTTGAACGATTGTTTAGTGATATGGGCTTTATTCATTCAAAGCGTCAAGTTCGTCTTAATGAAAAAAAAGTTATGAAAATAGCACAACTTCGGGCTAATCAACGTAAAGAAAATATGAAAAAATTAGATTCAAAGAAACTCAATAGCATGCAAATACATGCGCAAAAAAAAAGTTCAATTAATAATATGAATACGAATAATGAAGTATCAGTTAATGTGGAGTCTAGTACAAATCAAATGATCGAAGAAACTGATAGTTCTGATGAAGAAATAGAATCTGAGCTTATTTTAGATGAATTAGATTGTACTAGAGTTGTTAATGAGTGGTTTATGGAGTTAGACGATGAAGTATACGAAGCAGAAGACTATGATTTAGATAATACTGAAATTTTACACCTGGCAGAAGACCCTCAAGCAAAATGGAACCTAAATACTCTTTTTTCATCAACTTTGTCGAATTTGTCAAGCATTGAACTATAAAAAATAATATGCTGTAATTTGTTTTATCAATTATTAGAATATGTAGCGATTTAATTTGCTAATTATACGTAGTATTACATATTTTGCGCTATATAATAAATGATATTTGTCTATGCTAAAGTAAGAAAGAATTAATAGATACGTATATAGTACTTTTACATGTATTATTACCAAATTTTATATAAGATGTACATATGTACGTATGTTTACATTTATGTACAGTACATGAACAATTTACAAACGTAACTGCAAATAAGTATTTATAAACTTGATAATTGTTAGTACATACGACAAATATCTATACCTTTTCAAAATAATCAGATTTTACATATAACGAGTAAATTTAATTTAGGACAATTTAGGATATTTAGGATAATTTAGAAATTTTAGGATATCCGAAAATAACCATTTTAATTTTAGGATAGTCCTAAAACCAACCTTACTATCTACTATCTCTTACCCTCTATTACTTGTAAACCCTGCCCAGGATGTAATCTCAACTTATATTATATATCCAACCACTATACTTTAGAGATCTCTTCTATACTATTCATTTAATTCTTAGAAAGAAAATCTAATAACAAACTCAAACTTAATGCTAACTATATTGATTTAATTCAATCTATTAATATCAAAAATCTCTTTTATATTCTACCTTCTTCTTCTATTAATATTATTAACTCTCTTGTATTTTTTTTATTCTATCATAATACAGTATCCAATATTTTTATACAATTCTCTCTTGTTAACAAGTCTTTTTAATACTTTACTTTCTACACAGATGGCTCTGTTCTAAATTTTAGTACTAATCAATACACTATAGATATTGGTTAGATTCAATTATCTAATAACTTTGTTATATACAAATTCTTTACTTAGATCTCCAACTGGCTCTTATTCTATAAGGCAAAACTTTTAGCTATTCTCTTTGCTATCTCTACTGTTCTTTGCAATTCTTCAGTTGATATTTTTACTGACTCTTAATCAGTAATCTCTAAATATAACAAACTCTTCCAAACCTCTTACTTTATTACTAAATATTTTAAATTTAATACTTAGCCAATCTGGTACACACTCTTCAACTTACTTAAGCATACAATATTAAATTATCTCTTTACAAAGTTTAAGCTTACTCAAACAACACTTTCAACAACTTAGCAGATCTTCTCATTAATAATTATCTGTTTTTACCAACCTTATTTTTTAATTACTTCAATATCTATAACTTTTACTTCTTTTTTTAATAAAAAAATACTTCAATTAAATACTTTACTAAATACTTTATTAAAAATATTTGTAATGCTAAAACTATTGCAATGTAGTCCTTGCAAAGATATTATCAAGAGAAGTTACACTTCTTTAATCTTATCAATTGAAACTCTACTTGGCTATTTTTTAATAACAATTATAAAAGATTATACAACTTTATCAATTCTAAACTTAATCTTTTAAAATTAAAATATTACTAAATACACTATCTACACAATTCTATATTAACTTTATATCATTTAGCTCTAATCTTTACTTCTAATATAATCTCCCTAACTCATCATTCCACTGGTATACATACTTTAGCCCCAACTCTTTAATTCAAGTTATTAATTCCTTTATTACTAAAACTATTACCAATTTCAATCTTAATCTTCCCTATCAAGAAACTAATTACTTAATATATACAATCTCATCTTATTCTGCTTTCTCTTTTTAGCCCTCTTTTCTTTATCTATACTCTATTTATTTAACTCTTAAGGACCTTATTTCTATTATATTTGTACAATCTGTATTATTCTTTAATATTTTTTACTCACTCATCTTCTAACTTATTATTCAATTTCTTATTAAAATCTTTAACCAATTTTACGATCATATATAAAAACATTGTAATATAGAAAGCTGGCCTTGCTAACTATACTACTTGACTTAATGTGAAAAGGGTAAGAATATATGTATATAAAAAGTAAAACTCAAATAAAATTTAAAGAAAACTCAAATATAACTTAAAGAAATAAACTCAAAGAATATAAACTCAAAAATAACTCAGAATATAGAATATAAAATATAGAAAATAGAAAAAAAAACCCAGAAAAATACAATAAAAATAGAATAAAAGCTCAAGAAAAACTTAAGAAAAACACTATAAAATCACTATAAAAATACAATAAAAAAAGCATATACATGGTAGTGGGTATATAGTCAAAGGTATATTATTTATTTAATAGGGAAAAGGTTAGGAAAATACAAATTAAGACCTGGCAAAACCTATTCTGCCTTGGGCAAAAAGATAGAGTTTTTATATCTTTTAGAACTCTATATAAGAACGAATAATATTTTGTATCAACAGATCTGTGTCTATGTCAATGGACCTGTACTAACGGGTCTGTATTAACAGGTCTGTACCAACGGGTCTGTGTTAACGGGTCTGTACCAATGGGTCTGTACCAACGGGTCCTGTGTCACAGGGATGACAAATTATTATTTATTATCTTCTATAGTTATATATCTTTAAATCTTAATAATTCGTTAACTATTAACCTAATTAACAAATGGTAAAAACTATGCTAAGAAAATTGATATCAAGGATTCCATTGGTGGAATCAGATTTGTACTACAATTAGA